GTTCCCGTTATCCGTGCCCATCTGCAGCTGCTCCTGCTCCAGCTTCCTTGACAACTTTTCCATCACGCAGTTCCTCGCAGCAACGCCCGTTTGATCCCTGCGCTTCACGACCCGCTCCGTAAGTGGCACCAAACGACTAAGAACGCCCAAAGGCACCACAATGGCTGCGATTGCAGCGCTGAAGAACCATGCTAGTGGAGAAAGCGGGCACACCGCCAAGGCATCCCCGAAGGTTGACACGCCCACCACCTGAAAACCAAGGCAAAATGTCACAATCATTAAAAGAAGCTTTGAACGGTGCAAACCCTCGAAACAGTTTAACTCCGCGTACACCTTCCGGGCATTGAACATATGGAAAATAACCGAAAGCAAAAAAACGTTAAACACAAGTGTGCCGTGGGCACGACTGCCCTCTGCTGTTGGAGAAAAAAGATGTCCACCGTACGCAAATAAAAGAGACGTGATAAGTGTTTGGTAGCCGGCGATGGTACAGATGGTACACCACATGCGGCGTGACACGAGCGGCGCTCTGCGAAGAACAGGGCCACGGCCCAGGCATGCCTCTGACGGCTCCTCCGTCGCGAGTGCGAGCGCCGCCAGCGTGTCCATTATCAGGTTCACCCACAGCAGCTGCACAGTGCTCAGCGGGGAGGTGTGCGTGGAGGACAAAAACGACCCAAAAAACGTCAGCACAACGCTCGAAAAATTCACCGTCAACTGCAGCTGCAGAAACTTGCGAATGTTGTCGTTGACCGTCCGTCCCCACACGACAGCACGCTGCACGGAACGAAAGTTGTCGTCCAGCAGCACAATGTCCGACGACTTCACGGCAATATCCGTCCCACTTCGCATCACGAAGCCGACGCTCGCCAGCCGCAGCGCAGGCGCATCGTTCGTCCCGTCCCCCGTCACAGCCACCACCTCGCCGCGAATCATCAGCATCAGCACCAGCAGCTGCTTGTCCAGCGGCTGCGAGCGCGCCATCACCACCATGCGGCTGAGGATCGGCCAGAACCGCTCCATGTTCGCGCTGTTGCCGTACGAGTCGTACACCAGGCTGCGGAACTCCCGCCCTGTCATCGCCACGTCTCCGCGCAAACGGTTGTAGATGCCGCACTGCCGCGAGATGGCCACTGCCGTGTCCAGGTTGTCGCCCGTACACATCCGCACCGTCACGCCGGCGTGCTGGCACTTCCGCACGGCGTCCGGCACCTCCGGCCGCAAAGGGTCCTGGATGCCCACAAGCGCCAGCCATACCAGCGGCACCGTCGGCTCGTCGGCAGGAAGCGCGTTGCCCTCAACGTGTCCGTACGCCACGCCAATCGTGCGGTTCGCGTCGCTCGCGAAAGAGCGAATCTGCGTAACGATACTCCCCCGCACCTCGTCCGTCAGCGGCTCCTCCACCCCCGCGGCGGAGTAGTAGCGGTCGCACATGTCCAGCACGCGGTCCGACCCACCCTTCACGTGCTGCCTCAGCGCACCGCCCGGGCCCACCGCAACCACGCTCATGAACTTCCGCTCGCTTGTAAACGGAAAGATGGCAAAGCCGTGCGCGCGGCCCCGCTCACGCACGCGCTGGTGCGGACGGCTCGTCAGGTCCCCCTGGTCTGCCTCCTGCAGCAGCACACGGTCCACAAAGTCCAGCAGTGCGTTGTCCGTCTTGTTGCCCTTGTCCACCCGCCACTGCCAGAAGGGCTGCGCCACCGGCTCTCCGTCCTTGCCGATGCGGCACACCACCTTCTCGCTCGAGCTGTTCAGAGACAGGCCCTCCACTAGCAGATCCCGCGCTGCAGCCGACACGTTCACCAACCCAATCGGCGTCGGCACGTCCCCGGGGTCACGCACACTGAACCGCTGCATCCCAACGTACCCCTGCACCACGCTCATCCGGTTCTGCGTCAGTGTCCCAGTCTTGTCACTGCAGATCTGCGTCACACACCCCATCGTCTCGCACGCGCACAGCCGTCGCACCTGGTTCTTGTCGTCCTGCATCTTCTTCTGCGAGTACGCAAGCGCAATCGTCACCGCCAGCGGCAGACCCTCCGGGACGGCCACAACCACGATGGTGACGCACAACAGGAAGTGGTCCAGAAACACTTTCATGTGCAGCTTCTCCGTGTCCCGAATGACTCGAAATATTTCCAACAGCGACAGCAGCGAGAAGAGCAGCACCGCACTGCCCATGCCAAACCGCCCAATCAATCCTGCCAGCCCGTCCAGGCGCTCCTGCAAAGGCGTCATCCGCGGCCCGCCCTCCTGCCGCGACTCCATCAGCAGCTTCCCGCCAAACGAGCACTCGCCCACCGCACACGCAAGCATGTAGGCGTCCTCCGCCGTATTCACAACGGTGCCCGTCAGGAGGATCGGAGCCTGGGCATTCTTCTTCTTGGGGTCGTTCTCCCCAGTCACGCTGCTCTCGTCAATCACCACACTGAGGCCACGCACGTAGAAGCCGTCAACGGGCACCACAAGACCGTTCGACAGGCTCACAAGATCCCCCACAACGATGTCCGTCACGTCAATGACCCGCTCACACCCGTCACGAATCACCGCAATCGGCTGCACCGAGTTCTCCTCCATCAACTGAAGAAACTTCAGCTCTTTGCGGTAGTCGTTCACGGACGACACCGTCGTCACGATCACCACGGATGTCAGGATCGCAAACCCCTCAATCCACCCCTTCTCGCTGTTCACCACCTCCTGGCCGGGCTCCGGCACCGTCAGCCCAAGCACAAGCGACACAAAGGCAGCGCCACAGAGAAGAAGAATCATGCGGTCGCTCCATGCCGCCTTGTAGATTGTCCAGAAGGACAGCATCTTCTCCTCCGGCAGTTCATTTTTGCCAAAGAGCTCGCGCCGCCGCTCCACAGTGGAAGTGGTGACACCATTATTAAGATCCGTATGCAGCTTTGCGGCAACACCCTCCAACCTTCCCAACCTCTCGTACAGCTCCATACCCTCGTTGGCATGAGCGAATATTTGCACAAGGTTGTTTTTGAGTGACAGGTCTTCCAGCGCGTTGGGGTCTGTAGTGTCAACCACCACCGGTGTATCAACCTGATCTGCGTAGTTGAACTCCTGGAATCCACCCACAACGGACAGTTCCCCGGGGATCATCTCCAAAGAACGGGCGTTACTCAGCGCCAATGTGCTCCGTACTCAAGCGCTCGTGCTTTAGCAAGGTAGAAACAAAAACAAAACAATGAATACTTGCCGATGTAGAGGATATCACACTTTCACGTGTTTTTTGTCGCTTTTACTGGTGTGCAGATTTTCGTGTTCCCATTAAAGCAGAGACAACAAAAAAAAATAATAATACATGAAAGAGCACCGTGTGGTGGGGACGCACATAAGCATGAAGAAGGCACTCAACCACAGTAGTTGAGAATTGCGTCTCATACGTCACCACGAATCTTATATTATCACATACTGGGCAAGCACTCCTACTTCACAACTATTTTTTTCACGATCATTGCCTTGAAATCCTCCCACTGCCTGAGAGTCTCCGCCATTACCAGCCGTTCCTCAACAAGGCGTGACACCTCAGACTGCAATAGTACCATAGAGCCACGCAAAGACTCAACAGCCTCGGTGAACTCCAACCGCGCCCGCTCTGCCTCCGCTCTCGAGGTGTCCAGTTGCATCGTCAACAGCCTTTTTTGTTCCTCGTTCCGTTCTATAATTAATTTCACTCTCCCCTTCCACTCATCCATCCGCGCGTCTTTCGCCACACAAGCACCACAAACCATATCAGTACCACCAACAACACGTCTACGCCGAGCCCCCTCCAGCTCCACTTTCAGCCGCTGCACCTCCTGAGCAAGAGTGGCCACAGCCTCCTCCCGCTCCCGTGCAGCGTCACACTGCATGGTTTCCATGGCACCGGCTGCCTCCTCCTGCTCGCGCCGAGCCCCCTCCAGCTCCACTTTTAGCCGCTGCACCTCCTGAGCAAGAGTGGCCACAGCCTCCTCCCGCTCCCGTGCAGCGTCACACTGCATGGTTTCCATGGCATCAGCTGCCTC